CAGCACCACGCTCCCGCCGTACAGGCAAACCTGCTGCCAGCACGAACCACCTGCTCGTTACAAGCACCCACGGTGCTCTTCAGAGGAATGTGCTTTTCATCCAGGCCCTGGCTTTTATTTCAACAAGGGGTCTCATTGTTGCACTTGATCTTGGTGCCTGTTGCACAAACAACGGCTTTAAATGGCCCTTCACTGAAATACAAAGAAGCGTTCCCGCCGTACAGGCAAACCTGCTGCCAGCACGAACCACCTGCTCGTTACAAGCACCCACGGTGCTCTTCAGAGGAATGTGCTTTTCATCCAGGCCCTGGCTTTTATTTCAACAAGGGGTCTCATTGTTGCACTTGATCTTGGTGCCTGTTGCACAAACAACGGCTTTAAATGGCCCTTCACTGAAATACAAAGAAGCGTCAAGAGAAAAAGAAAGGTAAGAAAAAACACAGGGTTTCCTCTGGGCTCTGAAGGTTTGATTGAAGATAAGATCTGGGGCAAACGGAACGATCAAACCGGAGCGCTGTCAAAGGCACAGATTTAATCAGGGCTCACGGGAGTGATGCGAGAGTCCCGCGGTCAGACAAGCCTCTGAGGCCGCCGGAGCGTCCACGAGAGCCACCGGTGCCTTGGGACTACGGGAGAAAGTACTTAAACAACAACTCACGTACACAAAGAATCCCAGGATCCCTTCTTCCTTAAATATCCTGCCAATGGCGCTGAACACACCGCTGCCAAGGAAGGAAAAGAGCTATAAGGGTGCAGGGGTTGCCCCGCCCCCCCCCCGTGGCTTCACACGCGCTCCACAGCCACCAGGCCAGCCATGCAGCGGGCAGCTCTGTGCTGCTGCTCCTCCTCAACCCATGAAGGAAGGTCGTGTCTGCTCCCTGCCAGGCTGCAAGAACGCCTGGGACAACACAGCTCGCTGACAGCTGTTGAAATGCTGAAGCTAGAAAAGCTCTGCTCGGCCTTGGGTGGATACATGTGCTGCAACCACAGCACATTATATGCGTCGATTGGGCTGATTCTCAGCTCAAGAACCCTGTCCTGTCTCTGGGAGCTCGGGCTAGCAGCCGTGGGTTAGCTGCAGTCAGGTCTGACATGCTTTCAGGTGCAGTTTTGCCCTGGGGAGAGGCAGGTATTACCGAAAAAGGCTTGGAAATAGCTTGCAGACTAGCAGGGCTGCAGCAACGCTCCGTCTCGCCTGCTCTGCCTCCCTGCTGACTTCCCTTTCTATTAACACCTAAAGCTAAAAGGCAGGAGGCTCGCTGTGCGACCAGCAAGGCGTGTTACAGCCACCAAAATCCCCACAAGGCAGAACAGAAGCACACCAGGGACAGAGCCCAGCCTTCCCCTGTCCCTTCACCCTCATTAACCCACCCTCTAATGACAGCTCAGGCTCATTTTTTTGGTCTCCCAAACCTCCTGGGTTGCCACATCCCCCACTGCACGGGAGCATCTGGCACCGCTGACTCCCAGGCTCGTGCTCCTGTGTGCCCAAACCCTTGGGAGGTGCAGCCACTCACCTGTATTTGACTTCCCGGCCTACGAACTGGACCATGCAGCGCATGGAGATCACTAGGAGGAAGGAAACACAGAACCAAATCCGCTTTGGGTTGCAACAGACGTGAAGGAAAACGCAACCCGGCCCTTCTGCCCTCCCTTCCCTCAGCTCACATCACCTCCAGCTCCCCTCTGTGGTCCTCATCGCTGCAAAACTCATTAGGAACCGGTGCCCTTCCCCAGCCTGGAGGTGATGGGAAGGATTTCTGGCCCTAACCCCAGCGGGACAAGCTCTTGGATGGAGGGGAAGAGAGCACCTCGCTGCTCAGCTGGGTTAGTCCCTGGAGGCCGACCCAAGCGTCAGCCTCCCGGAGCAACCGCTCAGACCCGCCTCTGTGCTGCAGGTTCACACGAAGCCATTTCTGATGGAGAAACTCATCGAGTAAATGGGGTTTGGGGTGACCCTCGGTCCAGAGAGGGCTGCCAGGCAGAGGGACAGGACTCACCGTGCAGAGGATGAGAGACAACCCGGGAGGCGCACTGCATCATCATCTCGTGAGACGTCTGGGGAGAAAAAAGCCACGGCTGTCTGAGAAGCTGTGGGGCTCCACCTGCACCGATCAGGCCCTCTCCCTTAGTGTGGTGGGACCCACTTCAGGTCCCTCTTTTGGAATCTCTTGCTCGGGATAAACCTCTCTTCCTACGAAATATTTTGTAGCCGGACACCGAGTGGCTACTAAATACCCCAGGCTTCGCACCCAGAGTTTCTCTCCGCGTGACGTGACCCACAGCTGAAGCTTCCTGTGCTCTCCAGGCACATCCCCAACGGGATCTTCCTGCTCCCTTGTGCAATATCCACTGCTCACCTCTTTCACCACTTTCCTAAGGGAGGTCTTCACATCATCCTTGTTAGAAACGTGCTCCATGTCTTCCAGTGGAAAGGCCTGAGAGGAGAAACACACGGTCAAAACTGATGGAGACGCTGACCCACAAACCCTCGATGGCTGAGGGCAGGAGGAAACCACGAGCAGTTGCGCTCCAGATGGGAGGAGAAGAAAAACAGGCAAGAAGGAACACAGGAGAAGGAAGGATGGAAGGTAAAACAGGGGAAGAGAGGGGTCACGAAACTGCTTACAAAAGATAAAAGGCAAGTGGTTGTTCAAACTAAATTAAAGTTTAAGTTTTAGGGATAAGGACACTGTTCTCCTCCTGTCCCAGAGGACTACTCAGAGCCCTCAGGAGATGGAGAGGGACGGGGGCTTTCTTCTTCCCCAAGCAGTCGGGGCTGGGTGCAGGCTCCCTGGCTCTGCTGCAGTAGCACCGGCCGCCCCAGCCAGCTGACTGACGGGGAGAGAAGCCGGACTTTACCTTCTTCACGCTCCCCCTGGTGATGGTTGATAAAGTGCTTGAGATGAGGCGAGGAGTCAGCCCGCGGAAGAGGCCTCTCT